CCCCCTCCATAGAGAATAATAATCCCCCCCCCGGGCCCCCTCCATAGAGAATAAATCCCCCCCCCCCCGGGCCCCCTCCATAGAGAATAATAATCCCCCCCCGGCCCCCTCCATAGAGAATAATAATCCCCCCCCGGGCAGAACCCCATACAGAATAATAAATCCCCCCGTCCCCTCCATAGAGAATAATAATCCCCCGCGGGCCCCCTCATACAGAATAATATCCCCCCCCCGCAACCCTCCATACAGAATAATAATCCCCCCCGCAGGCCCCCCCATAGAGAATAATAATAATCCCCCCCGGCCCCCCCATAGAGATAAATAATCCCCCCCCGCCCCCCATACAGAATAATAATCCCCCCCCCATACACAGAATAATAATCCCCCCCCCCGGGCCCCCCCCATACAGAATAATAATCCCCCCCGGGCCCCCCCATACAGAATAATAATCCCCCCGGCCCCCTCCATAGAGAATAAATAATCCCCCCCCCGGGCCCCCTTCATAGAGAATAATAATCCCCCCCCGGGCCCCCTCCATAGAGAATAATAATCCCCCCCGGCCCCCTCCATAGAGAATAATAATCCCCCCCGGGGCCCCCTCCATAGAGAGAATAATAAATCCCCCCCCGGGCCCCTCATAGAGAATAATCCCCCCGGGCCCCCTCCATAGAGAATAATAATTCCCCCGGGGCCCCCTCCATAGAGAATAATAATCCCCCCCCCCACCCGGGCCCCCCTCCATAGAGAATAATAATCCCCCCCCGGGCCCCCTCCATAGAGAATAATAATCCCCCCGGGCCCCTCCATAGAGAATAATAATCCCCCCGGGCCCCCTCCATAGAGAATAATAATCCCCCCCGGGCCCCCTCCATAGAGAATAATAATCCCCCCGGGCCCCCTCCATAGAGAATAATAATCCCCCCCCGGGCCCCCTCCATAGAGAATAATAATCCCCCCCCCCGGGCCCCCTCCATAGAGAATAATAATCCCCCCCGGGCCCCCTCCATAGAGAATAATAATCCCCCCGGGCCCCCTCCATAGAGAATAATAATCCCCCCCGGGCCCCCTCCATAGAGAATAATAATCCCCCCCGGGCCCCCTCCATAGAGAATAATAATCCCCCCCCCCCCGGGCCCCCTCCATAGAGAATAATAATCCCCCCCGGGCCCCCTCCATAGAGAATAATACCCCCCCCCGGGCCCCCTCCATAGAGAATAATAATAATCCCCCCCGGGGCCCCCCCCATAGAGAGAATAATAATCCCCCCGGGCCCCCTCCATAGAGAATAATAATCCCCCCCCCCCCCATACAGAATAATAATCCCCCCCGGGCCCCCTCCATAGAGAATAATAATCCCCCCCGGGCCCCCTCCATAGAGAATAATAATCCCCCCCGGCCCCCTCCATAGAGAATAATAATCCCCCCCGGGCCCCCTCCATAGAGAATAATAATCCCCCCAGAACCCCATAGAGAATAATAATCCCCCCGGGCCCCCCTCCATACAGATAATAATCCCCCCCGGGCCCCCTCCATACAGAATAATAATCCCCCGGGCCCCCCATACAGAATAATAATCCCCCCCGGGCCCCTCCATAGAGATAATAATAATCCCCCTGGGCCCCTCCATAGAGAATAATAATCCCCCCCGGGGGGCCCCCTCCCATAGAGAATAATCCCCCCCCCTGGAACCCCCCTCCATAGAGAATAATAATCCCTCCCGGGCCCCCTCCATAGAGAATAATAATCCCCCCCGGCCCCCTCCATAGAGAGAATAATAATCCCCCCCCGGGCCCCCTCCATAGAGAATAATAATCCCCCCCCCGGGGCCCCCTTCCATAGAGAATAATAATCCCCCCGGGGCCCCCTCCATAGAGAATAATAATCCCCCCCGGGCCCCCTCCAAAGAGAATAATAATCCCCCCCCGGGCCCCCCTCAGAAGAGAGATAATAACCCCCCCCCCCGGGCCCCTCCATAGAGAATAATAATCCCCCCAAGCCCCCTTCATAGAGAATATAATCCCCCCGCCCCCCCTTCATAGAGAGTAATAATAATCCCCCCCGACCCTCATACATAGAGAATAATAATCCCCCCCCCGGGCCCCCTCCATAGAGAATAATAATCCCCCCCCCCAGGCCCCCTCCATAGAGAATAATAATCCCCCCCAGGCCCCTCCATAGAGAATATAATAATCCCCCCCCCCCCCCTCCATAGAGAATAATAATCCCCCCCGGGCCCCCTCCATAGAGAATAATAATCCCCCCCGGGCCCCCTCCATAGAGAATAATAATCCCCCCCCCCGGCCCCCTCCATAGAGAATAATAATCCCCCCCGGGCCCCCTCCATAGAGAATAATAATCCCCCCCGGGCCCCCCTCCAGAGAATAAATAATATCCCCCCCGGCCCCCTCCATAGAGAATAATAATCCCCCCCCGGCCCCCTCCATAGAGAATAATAATCCCCCCCGGGCCCCCTCCATAGAGAATAATAATCCCCCCGGGGCCCCCTCCATAGAGAATAATAATCCCCCCCGGGCCCCCTCCATAGAGAATAATAATCCCCCCCCCGGCCCCCCTCCATAGAGAATAATAATCCCCCCAGGTCCCCCTCCATAGAGAATAATAATCCCCCCCGGGCCCCCTCCATAGAATAATAATCCCCCCAGGCCCCCTCCATAGAGAATAATAATCCCCCCCGGACCCCCCTCCATAGAGAATAATAATCCCCCCCCCGGCCCCCTCCATAGAGAATAATAATCCCCCCCCGGGGGCCCCCTCCATAGAGAATAATAAATCCCCCCGGCCCCCTCCATAGAGAATAATAATCCCCCCGGGCCCCCTCCATAGAGAATAATAATCCCCCCCGGCCCCCTCCATAGAGAATAATAATCCCCCAGGCCCCCTCCATAGAGAATAATAATCCCCCCCAGGCCCCTCCATAGAGAATAATCCCCCCCAGGCCCCCTCCATACAGAATAATAATCCCCCCCGGGCCCCTCCATAGAGAATAATAATCCCCCCGGCCCCCTCCATAGAGAATAATAATCCCCCCCCGGGCCCCCTCCATAGAGAATAATAATCCCCCCCGGGCCCCCTCCATAGAGAATAATAATCCCTCCCGGGCCCCCTCCATAGAGAATAATAATCCCCCCCGGGACCCCCCTCCATAGAGAATAATAACCCCCCCCGGATAATATCCCCCAACCTCCATAGAGAATAATAATCCCCCCCCCGGGGCCCCCCCATACAGAATAATGATCCCCCCCCCTGGCCCCACCTCCAATAGAGAATAATCCCCCCCGGGGGCCCCTCCAAAGAGAATAATCCCCCCCGGGGCCCCCCTCCCATACAGAATAATCCCCCCCCCGGCCCCCTCCATACAGATTTTATAATCCCCCCGGCCCCCCCTCCATAGAGAAAATAATAATATCCCCCGGGGGCCCCCACTATAGAGAGTAATAATCCCCGGGCCCCCTCGTTAGAGAATAATAAACCCCCCCCCAAAACCCCTCCGTAGAGAGTAATAATCCCTCAGGAAACCCCCATACAGAATAATAATCCCTCCCGTAACCCCAAACAGAATAATCAATCCCCTGGAACCCCAAAGAGAATAATAATAACCTCTCGGGGAACCCCATACAGAATAATAATCCCCCCGGATAATAATCCCCATGCATAGAGAATAATAATCCCCCCCGGGCCCCCTTCATAGAGAATAATAATCCCCCCGGGCCCCTTCATAGAGAATAATAATCCCCCCGGGCCCCCCAATACAGAATAATCCCCTCCGGAATCAATACAGAATAATGCCCCCCCGGGGGCCCCCCCCAATACAGAATAATCCCCAGAACCCCATACATATAATAATCCCTCCGGAACCCCATACAGAAGAATAATCCCCCGGGGGCCCCCTCCATACAAAATAATGATCCCCCCGGAACCCCCATACAAATAATGATCCCCCCCGGAACCCATACAGAATAATAATCCCCCCCGGCCCCCCCATACAGAAATAACGATCCCCCCCCCGGAACCCCATACAGATAATAATAATCCCTCAGGAACCCCCATACATAAAATAATGATCCCCCCGGAAACCCCCTACAGGAATAATCATCCCCCGGAACCCCAAACAGAATAATAATAACCTCTCAGGAACCCCATACAGAATAATAATCCCCCCGGAACCCCATGCAGAATAATAATCCCCCCCGGGCTCTTCATAGAGAATAATAATCCCCCGGCCCCTTCATAGAGAATAATAATCCCCCTCGGGCCCCATACAGAATAATAATCCCCCTCCCGGAACCCCAATACAGAATAATCCCCCCCGGAACCCCAATACAGAATAATCCCCAGAACCCCATACAGAATAATAATCCCTCCGGAACCCCATACAGAATAATAATCCCCCGGAACCCCATACAAAATAATGATCCCCCCGGAACCCCATACAAAATAATGATCCCCCCGGAACCCCATACAGAATAATAATCCCCCCCCGGAACCCCATACAAAATAATGATCCCCCCGGAAACCCCATACAGAATAATAATAATCCCCCGGAACCCCATACAAAAATAATGATCCCCCGGAACCCCATACAAAATAATGATCCCCCCGGAACCCCATACAGAATAAATAATCCCCCCCGGAACCCCATACAAATAATGATCCCCCCGGAACCCCAACAGAATAATAATAATCCCTCAGGAACCCCATACAAAATAATGATCCCCACGGAACCCCATACAGAATAATAATAATCCCTCAGGAACCCCATACAGAATAATGATCCCCCCGGAACCCCATACAGAATAATCATCCCCCGGAACCCCAAACAGAATAATAATAACCTCCAGGAACCCCATACAGAATAATAATAATCCCTGAGGAACCCCATACAGAATAATAATCTCCCCCGGAACCCCATACAGAATAATAATCTGACCCCCCGGAACCCCATACAGAATATAAACCCCTCCATGCCCCCTATAGCTCACCGTCAAGTACATGTTGACCACCTCCTCCTCAGGTTCCTCCTCGGGTCCCAGCTGTTCGTGGTGTTCAGAAATGACAGAGGACGAGGCGGTTGGGGGCGCAGAGTGCACGGACCGGGCGAGGACGGCGGGGTCCCCTCAGCAGCAGTGGCCGGGCGACCCGGGTGAGGCGCAGCGCCCTCACACACAAGGACATCGCCATATTTTACACTACCTGAGCGCACCCTCGCGAGACACGGGAATAGACCGCCTTCTCTCCACCTCCTGGCCATTGAGAACTCAGGCAAGCGGACACCTCAACTCCCATTGGCTGCGTGGAAAGTCCTGCAGACGACATCACTATGAAAAGTCTACGTCATTCTGAGAAGAACGCCATCTTTTCTGTGGGCAAGTGTTGATTATTTGTAACCAAGCGCAACTAAATGTGAGGAGGGGGAGACGGCCATGTGTTGCTCCTATCATCCAATCAGAGCACACCTGTCATGTCTGGTCAACAATTTCAAAGTTGCTGTGGGATGTATGACATCATTTGTCTAGACTTGGAAATCAGGAAGTAACTGATGTAAAGAAAAAAAAAAAAAAAAAAAATTTCAAACAAGTAAATATGTTATATTTTCCTATCTATTTACGAATGCTAGCATAGGAGGATTAAAAACAGTCAAAGTTGACCGAGAGTGAAGTTCTGCTTTAAGGCTAGATTCACACCTATGCAGAATGCGTTTGACCCGTTTCTGCATTGCGTTTTTGACGCGTTTTCTGGTATTTTTCATGTTGCTAGGCATATTTAAAATGCAAACACATCAAAAATGTATTTCATGCTTTTCTGCAACGTTTTAATTGAAGAACCAAAAACGCAACTTTTTGCATTCAAAAAGTTCCTGACCCTTCCAAAAAATGCACCGGGTGAAAACACGAAGATATGAACATGTCCCATAGAAATCATGTTAAATGGACTGTACTGCGTTTCTGCAAAACGCTGCGGAAAAGGCTTATGTGAACCCAGGGTAAGGCTTGGGCATTCAGATCTGTCAGTACCTGTCAGTTTTCTAGGCAGCTCTGATTGAGCCCAGGTTCACACTTGTGCAGTGCAGCACATCACATGTGATTTGCACAGGAACCGCACCGCATTCCTGTGCACATCACATGCGATTTGTGTGCGATGCGACTGGAGCTATACATTTTGTATGGCTCAATTCGCACTACACCGCAAAGGTGCAGGACCCTTTTTTTGGTCCGCACTAGAATCGGATCACATGGGAATTCACACCTATGCGATCCAATTCAGCACATCGCACCGCGTTTTGCAGACCACTTTCAGGGTGTTGTTTACATACACACCCGCAGCGGTTCGCATCTATGAACAGGGTGCGATAGTAATGCAGTACGGAATTCGCACAAAAACCGCTGCAAATTCCGCACCGCATCAGTGTGAGCCCAGGATGAAAGATCCATGCAGCCCTACTGAGAGGCAGATGGAAGTGGACTTGTATTCATTTACACTCGCCTTCCTTTGAGTCCATGAAGTCTGGAGAACAGAAAAAAAAAAAAAGGAAAAGAACGGTGTCCTTTTCCATTTTTGCAGTCCTAAATGTGACGGACCAGAGGTACCCTGATGTAAAAAGACAGTGATGTCTGTTTACGTCCGTCTGCCAATTGAGCTGTCACAGGTCCAACAGGCACAAAATGAATAGGCATGGATGTAAAAAAAAAAAAACAAAAAAAAAACTGACATCCGTCCCGTTCAGCTGCAATTCTGCAAATCTGCTCACAGATGCCCTGCTGATCAGAGCAGACTCCACTCCATGTCAAAGGATTCCTGATTGCATCTCAGTGCTGCTGATCTCCTCCAGCCTCTTTCAGGCAATTCTTGCACTCCAGCATTGGCATTGACTGTGACAACATTGGAGAATGAATGCCCAACATGTCACCACAGCTGCTTGTAGTCTCCGTCAGGGAGGCATGCCTGCCCAATGTGTCAGCACAGCTGTTTGTAGTCATCATTAGGGGGGTACACCTGCCCAATGTGTCAGCACAGCTGTTTGTAGCCATCATTAGGGGGGTACACCTGCCCAATGTGTCAGCACAGCTGCTTGTAGACATCATTAGGGGGGTACACCTGCCCAATGTGTCAGTACAGCTTCTTGTAGTCATCAATAGGGGGGTACACCTGCCCAATGTGTCAGCACAGCTGCTAGTAGTCATTAGGGGGGTACATCTGCCCAATGTGTCAGCACAGCCGCTTGTAGTCATTAGGGGGGTACACCTGCTCAATGTGTCAGCACAGCCTCTTGTAGTCATCATTAGGGGGGTACACCTGCCCAATGTGTCAGCACAGCTGCTTGTAGACATCATTAGGGGGGTACACCTGCCCAATGTGTCAGCGCAGCTGCTGGCAGTCATCATTAGGGGGGTACACCTGCCCAATGTGTCAGCACAGCTTCTTGTAGTCATCATTAGGGGGGTACACCTGCCCAATGTGTCAGCACAGCTGCTAGTAGTCATTAGGGGGGTACATCTGCCCAATGCGTCAGCACAGCCGCTTGTAGTCATTAGGGGGGTACACCTGCTCAATGTGTCAGCACAGCCTCTTGTAGTCATCATTAGGGGGGTACACCTGCCCAATGTGTCAGCACAGCTGCTTGTAGACATCATTAGGGGGGTACACCTGCCCAATGTGTCAGCACAGATGCTGGTAGTCATCATTAGGGGGGTACACCTGCCCAATGTGTCAGCACAGCTGCTTGTAGACATCATTAGGGGGGTACACCTGCCCAATGTGTCAGTACAGCTTCTTGTAGTCATCATTAGGGGGGTACACCTGCCCAATGTGTCAGCACAGCTGCTAGTAGTCATTAGGGGGGTACACCTGCCCAATGTGTCAGCACAGCTGCTTGTAGACATCATTAGGGGGGTACACCTGCCCAATGTGTCAGTACAGCTTCTTGTAGTCATCATTAGGGGGGTACACCTGCCCAATGTGTCAGCACAGCTGCTAGTAGTCATTAGGGGGGTACATCTGCCCAATGTGTCAGCACAGCCGCTTGTAGTCATTAGGGGGTACACCTGCTCAATGTGTCAGCACAGCCTCTTGTAGTCATCATTAGGGGGGTACACCTGCCCAATGTGTCAGCACAGCTGCTGGTAGTCATCATTAGGAGGGTACACCTGCCCAATGTGTCAGCACAGCCGCTTGTAGTCATCATTAGGGAGGGATCACCTGCCCAATGTGTCAGCACAGCTTCTTGTAGTCATCATTCAGGGGGAACACCTGCCCAATGTGTCAGCAGTTGCTTATAATCATCATTAGGGGGTTACACTTACCTAGTGTGTCTGGACAGTTGCTTGCAGTCCCATTAGGGAGTACACCTGCTCAGTGGATCTACACAGTTGCTCGCAGACCCCAACTTGCCACCACAGCTGCTTGTTGTCATCATGAGGGGAAAACATCTGCCCAATGGGTCAGCACAGCCACTTATAGTCTGCATCATGGGAATGCTGCTGCCCAATGAACAGCTGCTTGTCTCCATGAGCGAAATGCACCTGCCCAAATGCGTCACAGCTGCTTGTCATCTCAGTTATCACCCTATATTAGGAAGTACCTGAATAGGGACCCCCATGTCAGGATCAACAGGTATCATTTTAATGAAAGCTGCAGATTTATAAAAAAAAAAAAAAAAAAAAAAAAAAACTTAAAATTAATTTAAAACGGACCTTCAATGTCAATGGAATACAATAAAGATTTCACAACAACTAAAAAAATAACTCAGTCCCTTCTTTTCAGTAGGTGTAGATTACATTACTACCCATTGCTTTCTTCTGGCCATTCAAAACCCAGTGAGAAGGATTTCCTGCAATGGGGCCGGGTTTAGGGGAATTTCAAATTCCTGTACCTCCTGGAAGCCGAGATCAAGGGACAAAGGTTTTTTTTTTTTTTTTTTTTTTTTTAATTCTTTTTGTTAAATCTGTATTTTTGAAGCTTTTCTTACTGCTTTTTGTCCGTGCGTCTGGAGGCTAGCAGGGAAGTGGACCTTTCCACTTTTTTTTAAGCTTTTAAATTAAAAACTCTGAGATTTTATTGATTGGGGTAAAGACTTTAAAATATAGTTTCATTTATTTCCTGCATTTCAAAAAGAAAAAAAACAAAAAAAAAGTTTTTGCTAGTGACAATATACTGGCAGCTAGCAAAAGAAGACTAATATATTCAAATCCTAATAGGATATTACGTTTAATTGGCGCTGCAGACGAATTTCGATCCATGTATGGCTGGCCCAATAGCAAAAGCACAGTCATAGCAACAATTTCTAGAATTTATTTGATTAGAGGGCAATTAGTCTGCAAACATTTTTTTCATTTGCTTGCACAACGAAACTGGAGAACAGAGGCGGGGAAAAACAAACTCCATGCAGACACTGTCCCTGCAAGGAATAGAAATCCATGATTAGGGTCAGGTCACACTACATGCGTTTCAGTTGCTTTTTTCTGCATCCAAAACGCACAGAAAGTAGGTTATATGGTTATCAATGTCATAGTTCACATCAGTGCTTGCAGTTCCAGTGTTTTCCGGTTGCAGAAAAAAAAAAAAAAAAAAAAAAAAAGAGAACATGCTGCATTTTTTCCGCACAGGACTATACTGGAACACAGTAAAATGCATCAAAAACACACTGGAATGCAGCAAAACATATCAAAGACACACTGGAATGCACAAATACCTATTTAAATTGAAGAAAACGAGAGGGTTAAAAATGAACTGAAATGTATTAAAAAAAAAAAAAATGCACTGGAACACATAAAAAACGCACCAGAATGCATCAAAAATGCACATGCGTAAATGCATTCGGAATACATCTGAACTGCGTTTCTATATGCATTTCAGTTGTTTTTTTTTCTGCATCCAAAATGCACAGAAAGTAGGTTTATATGTTGTCAATGTCATAGTGCACATCAGTGCTCGCAGTTCCAGTGCGTTTCGGGTGCAGAAAAAAAAAAAAAAAAAGTAGAGCAGGCTGCATTTTTTCTGCACATAACTGTAGTGGAACACGGTAAAACACCTCAAGAACACACCAAAAATGCATGTCCCTTTTTAAATTGTAGAAAAAAGAGAGGAGAAAAAAAAAATTCACTGGAATGCATTAAAAAAAAAAAATAAAAAACACTCCACACTGGAAGGCATCAGGACTGCATTTCTATAGTGTGGACTGAACTGCGTCAAGCATGAACTTAGGGTTAGTTCACACTAGATGCCCATTCAGTGCATTTTTTTCTGCATCAAAAATGCATGCACAGTGTTTTCCATGTATTCCAATGGCCCTAGTTCACACTAGTGCAGTCAGTTCCAGTCAGTTTCCGATGCAAAAAAAAAAGTGGAACATGCTGCATTTTTCTGCACAGAACCATACTGGAACATAGCAAACTGCATCAAAACTGCACTGGAACTGCATGTGGTGTGAACTGTAAGCAAAAACGTATCCGGAATGCATCTGGAATGAATCTGGAGTGCGTTTCTGTGGTGTGAACTGGCCCTGAGAGCAGCAAGGCAGGAGTGCTAACCTCTTTAGCCAGTGTGCTGCCAGTAACCTTTTGTTTTTAGAACATCAGTTGCAGAGCAATGCAAAATCTCAGGCCATGTGTTGTCAATCACAACCCACAGAAAGCGCCTTACTGTCTTTATATTGGAAGAGAAAAATTTTCAGAGCACAAAAGGTAAGTTGCCAAAAGCTTGTGGTAACATCCAGCAGTACATGGAAGGATCCTGGAGTATTGATGAACACTATAAAACTCAGGATACGATTACCTGATACACATTCTTCTTGCCTGAAGTTGCTCTTACATTTTGTGACTGACTTTGAAATAAGTCACCTGGAATTGAGTTGCTGTTGGAAACAGTCACTTTCTCTCAATATACACTCAATGTACTAAAGTTTAATAAAAAATACAGTTTATTTCACACACGCAACATATTAAACATCCAAGAAAAACAACTGTACAGGGTAGGAAAGGACAGAATGGCACTCCATCAGATATTCTTATTCCACTGGTTTAGCGCGGGATGCCTCTGCATTGGCTCTAAGCACGGCTCCTGGGCTAGGATATGGACGCTGTTGAAATAGGGGTCCTGCAGCTGTGGTGTCTGCTCCAGTCTTGGCCTCGTTTCTTTTAGGGAGTCCTGTGGACCAGGTACCCCTGTAGTGCAGAAAACAGAGTTATGTAAGCTCATGATGCAAAGTATAAATTAAAATTACAGAACATCAAGCATCACATATAAAAAGGTATTAAAATTTCTCTTTCTTCCTTTCTTTGTAGAACTGTTCAAGTTCAGCTAAATGTGATGGTGACCCACCTCTGCTTTCTCTAACTTTGTGACTTGCTGCAAAATGTACAACATATAGGAAATTATTTACGAAAATGGGAGAGTGCAAAATCTGGTGCAGCTCGGCATAGAAACAAATCAGCTTCCAGGTTTTACTGTCAATGCTAAAATTGAAAAAGCCGAAGTTAGAAGCTTATTAGCTACCATGCACAGCTGCACCAGATTCTGAGTGCGCCAGTTTAAGTACCTCTCCCTCACAGTCATGGGGAAAGGAGACATAAGAAAGGCTTTCTGCTGCCCCTGAAAGAATGAGAACACCATTCTCTGAAACCTGTCTACATTGAAGAACAGCTTTTAAACCAAATCCCGCCTGGCCAATAGCAAAATGATGGCAGAGCAGGACTTTTGGCAATCCAGGTGGGCTTTATATGACGTCCTCTGGGATCGCCGCCGAGCTGCGCCAAGATCTTTCACTGGCTGTGTCCATTGGACACAGCCGATGACCAATCTGTGTACCGGCCCATTGCCGGTACTATGTGACCAATCACAGCAGGTCACATGACAACTGTAAACAATGGATGGCTTCCTTTCATGCCATCGTTTGTATACAATTGTGTTTCTGTGATTGGTCACAGTGATCACATGGTACAGGCTGGGCCAATCACAGCCCATCTGTGTCATGTGATTAGCTGTGGCCAATCACAACAAAAAACACTGAATGAATCGATTTCATTCAGTTAAATTCTTGCCTATAGCAGTGAAATTCACTGCTATAGGCAATCATAATGCGTAAAAAAAAATAATATATATATATTATATTTTTTTTTCCCATACTGTCACCAGTCTTTGTATCCTGATCACTGCCACACCAGGTATATGATGACACTGTTCTTCACTGGTGAACACCATTATGTATATGACAGTATGTATATAAAAGTATGACAGTATGTATATAAAAAGTGAAAAAAAAATTATTTTTCATTTCTTTATTTTCCCAGAAATTATGACAAAAAAATTACAACTAAAAAAAAAAAAAAAAAAAAAAAAAAAAAAAAAAAAAAAAAAAAAGAAAGGAAAACCCACCATGTGTCTTACTAAATATCGCAAACTGTCTACTTTACAAAAAGGGGTCATTTGGGGGATATTTGTACTGTCCTGACATTTTTGGCCATCAAGAAATGAGATAGGCCGTCAGTACATCAGGACTGATCGATTTTCAGAAGATAGTTTGTGGACTCTATAACTTTCCTACAGACTAAATAACATACCCACTTATTTGGGTTATTTTCACCAAAGAAATATAGCAGGATACATTTTGGCCTAAATTTATGAACAATTATTTATTTGCAAAATTTTATAACAAACGAAGAAATAAGTATTTAGAGACTTATAAAGGGACTGGCCGGTCCAATTTAAAGGGTTGGTGAAACAGAGACCAGAGTCAGAAAGTATATTTCCTATGTGATATAAGAAGCTAGCGGGTAACCGATCTCTCCCAAAAAAAATACGAAGGTTGTAACTCTTCCTAATCTACCCAAGTATTGGCTGAAGTTGAGTTTTTAACGGTCTGTGCCTGCATTTATGCTGCTGTAAATACTTCTACTGTTAAAGGCAGCTGAACAGAGTGATGGGGGAGTTTTAAAGGAAAGCAAAAATATGCTACTGCAGGAGGAGGATACATTCAAGTGAACCTGTTTTTTTATTGTTGTACTAAAATAAAAACACACCATAATGATGAGGATATGTGCAGTATAAGGTTACCTGGGAGCATCAGAGTAAGCACTGGGGTCCATTGGATCAATTTCCTCCTCTTTCCTCCCTGAGAAAAGTATACACATCAGTTAATTAAAACAAAACATGGTATTACACCCAAACTGGGAAATATTCCTCAGTTGTGTCACCTTTTTTAGATTTAGAATAAGGAGCCACTTCATCCCTCCGGCTGTGTCTTCTCTCTTTTACATCTTCCCTCTCAACTCGCTCCAACCTCTCAGACCTCTCCAACCTCTCAGACCTCTCCAACCTCTCAGACCTCTCCGACCTTTCCTCAGATTCTGGAGATAGAAAGGCAAGAAGATAAACATACTTATCCATGAGAAACAAGAGGCCGACAGTAAGAAATATAGGCGTGTTATACAGAGGCCAACAGAAAGAAAATATAGAGGTTTTAAGCTGCAACCTGAAAAAAAAAAAGAGGGGAGAGCAAAACTTTTCACTTTCAGCACCCATTTTTATACATCAGACACCTCACAATCAGCGACATACAGACAGCATCACCTTTGTGTTTGGATAAGCTTTTGCTGATAATAGCACCGGGATCATGCGGAGACAACCATGACACCATATCCGTCTCCACGTTCCAGTAATAAGGTAAGCCCCTGAATCAAGAAGAGATGGTGGTAGAGAAAATCAAAATCTAAATAGAGAGAACTGTTGGCACTATATAAATCTTGTATAATAATGTCTTAAAACAAACCGTTTTAACAAACACTGCAGCAGCCAGAGATGGGGCACACATCATTAGAGGTAACTTATTTCAATTTTATAAATGTACCAAAATAGTTTTTTTTTTCCATATTTCAGCTGTGTTTACACTCTATAAGGAACTGCAACCGTTGAACTGTTTTTGAAGGTGCAATGTCCAGGATTGTAATACTCTACCCTGCTTCAATGTCAATTACAGGTGTACCTCGGTTTACAAACGCCTCGGTAAACGTAATTTTTGGTTTAGGAATAAAAATCCATTGAAAATAATACCTTTGTTTACAATTTTTTTTTCGCAATACGAAGTGTATGTTGGTGCCGATTTGTAAACGCAATTGCCAGCTTTTTTTTTTTTTTTCACTATAGCTCACAGAGCTATCACTTTCCCCTGAGTTAAAGGAAGCTTTGTTTCTTTTAAGAAACTAAAAGTAAACATTGTTTCTTTTAACTCGGGGGAAATACACTAAAAAGAAACTCTCTCTTTTAGCTAGGGGGAAAGTGACAGCTTAATCTCTGAGCTATAGTGAAGAAGAAAAAAAAAGCAGTAATTACATTTAAAAACCGGCACCATAATAAATAAAAAAAATGGTGTTTTGGTCTGGTATGGATTTTGAGGGGAACTCCCATGCCAAAGTAAAAAAAAAAAAAAAAAAAAAAAAATGGCGTGGGGGTGCTTGTTGATGGGGACGAGGGCCTCAAACTAAATAATACATCCTAATTTGGGTTATTTTCACCAAAGACATGTAGCAGAATACATCTCGGCCTAAATTTATGAAGAACAATTATTTATTTGTAAACTTTTATAACAGAAACAAAGAAAAACGTGTTTTTTTTTCAAAATTTTTTTTTGTTAATTTTTTGTCTTTTTTTGTTAATTTAGCAAAAAATAAAAACCCCAGCGGTGATTAAATACCACCAAAAGAAAGCTCTAGTTGTGTGAAGAAAATGATACAATTTTAGTTTGGGTACAATGTTGTATGACCGCGCAATTGTCATTCAAAGTGTGAGAGCGCCGAAACGTGAAAAATGGCCTGGGCAGGAAAGTGTAAAATTGCCCGGTATTGAAATGGTTAATGTTGCGAACATCACAACCAAAAGTTTCCTAATGGGGCAAGAAGCTTACTTAATTCCCCAGTATGTGCAGTCACTGGTGTTTTTTCGCATTGGATAAAACACAGGTCACTGCATGTGCACATTCAAAATGACTTATCTCTGTGCTCCATTTGCACCACAATGCTGGTGTGATGTGCATGCTGTGTGGAAAAATGCAAACATGCTGCATTTTTCTTTCGGCTATTGGATAAAACTGCTGGTCACTGCACCACACTGCTGTGCAGAGACATGAATGAAGTGTCACAAAGTAACACTTCAAACAAAGTTAAAAGAAAAAAAAAAAAAGTTAAATGCCCTGAAATGTGCAACACACCCCTCCCTGCTGGACCTCACTCTGACAGCTGCCTGCTTGGTAAAACTCTGCGTACTACTATGCAGGCTAGAGTGAATTAACCCCTACCCAACTCAATACACAAGCATGCCAGAATAAGTAGCAGCTGGGACTCACCAGTCTGGGTCAAACACTTTGTACCAGTTTGGAGGAAGATTCTCTATCCGGGTTGCTTCATAATCTACATTATCATCATCATAATCTTCCGCGATGACCTCTTCTGCTGGCTCTAATGGGATATGACAAAGACAAGAATTCAGTGAGAAGAGTCCACACAGTGCCAGCAGTACACGTTTAAAGTTATACAAACGGACATCTAATCTGCTCACCTGTTTCCACATGCTTCAGAATTCCTCTCTTGGCTAACCGAGCCTGAAGAGCCAATGGAAGGGGCATTCTGGACCACTAAGTTGCTAGAGAGAAAGAAACATTCACTAAGATTTTTATTCTGAGACCAGTGAGCAAAGCTCAGTGTTAGCTAAAGCCTTACATTTTGTGGAGACATAACTCGTATCTTATTCTCTTCCAGGGTTTTTCAAATGAAGAACATCATTTTGTATCGGTGTTTCAGCTGATGACAACCAGAGGTTGGGATGAAATACAAAATGATGTTCTTATAATAAAAGTCAGAGTTTGCTGCAGCACAAATTCTTTAACTGCACATACAGTCATGGCCGAAAATTGTTGGCACCCTTGATATTTCTCCAGGAAATCATGTATTTCTCACGAAACGTATTGCATTAACACATGTTTTGCTATACACATGTTTATTCCCTTTGTGTGTATTGGGACAAAACAAAAAAAAGGGAGGAAAGAAAGCAAATTCGACATAATGTCACACAAACCTCCAAAAATGGGCTGGACAAAAGTATTGGCACCCTTTCACAACTGCGGATAAATAAGAATGTTACAAGCATGTGATGCTCCTGTAAACTCACCTGGGGCAAGTAACAGGTGTGGGCAATATAGAAATCACACCTGAAAGCAGATAAAAAGGAGAGACGTTCACTTAACCTTTGCATTGTGTGTCTGTCTGTGCCACACTAAGCATGGACAACAGAAAGAGGAGACGAGAACTGTCTGAGGACCCTGAGAACCAAAATTGTGGCAAAATATCAACAATCTCAAGGTTACAAGTCCATCTCCAGAGAACTAGATTTGCCTTTGTCCACAGTGCGCAACATTATCAAGAAGTTTGCAACCCATGGCACTGTAGCTAATCTCCCTGGTCGTGGACGGATGAGGAAAATTGATGAAAGATTGCAACGCAGAATAGTCCGGATGGTGGATAAGCAGCCCCAAACATGTTCCAAAGACATTCAAGCTGTCCTGCAGGCTCAGGGAGCATCAGTGTCAGCGCGAACTATCCGTCGACATTTAAATGAAATGAAACGCTATGGCAGGAGACCCAGGAGGACCCCACTGCTGACACAGAGACATAAAAAAGCAAGACTACAGTTTGCCAAAATGTACTTGAGTAAGCCAAAAGCCTTCTGGGAAAACGTCTTGTGGACAGATGAGACCAAGATAGAGCTTTTCGGTAAAGCACATCATTCTACTGTTTACCGAAAACGGAATGAGGCCTACAAAGAACAAAACACAGTACCTACGGTAAAATATGGTGGAGGTTCAATGATGTTTTGGGGTTGTTTTGCTGCCTCTGGCACTGGGTGCCTTGACTGTGTGCAAGGCATCATGAAATCTGAGGATTACCAAAGGATTTTGGGTCGCACTGTAGGGCCCAGTGTCAGAAAGCTGGGTTTGCGTCCAAGATCCTGGGTCTTCCAGCAGGACAATGACCCCAAACATACGTCAAAAAGCACTCAGAAATGGATGGCAAAGAAGCGCTGGAGAGTTCTGAAGTGGCCAGCAATGAGCCCAGATCTAAATCCCATTGAACACCTGTGGAGAGATCTTAAAATTGCTGTTGGGAAAAGGGTGTGTCCTTCCAATAAGAGAGACCTGGAGCTGTTTGCAAAGGAAGAGTGGTCCAAAATTCCGGGTGAGAGGTGTCAGAAGCTTATTGATGGTTATAGGAAGCGACTGATTTCAGTTATGTTTTCCAAAGGGTGTGCAACCAAATATTAAGTTAAGGGTGCCAATACTTTTGTCCAGCCCATTTTTGGGGTTTTGTGTGACATTATGTCATATTTGCTTTTCTGCCTCTGTTTTATATTTGTTCCAATACATACAAAGGGAATAAACATGTGTATAGCAAAACATGATGCAATACCTTTTTTGTGTGTGAAATACTTGATTTTCAGGAAAAATATCAAGGGTGCCAACAATTTCGGCCATGACTGTATACAACTATGGCCAAACGTTCGGAGAATGACACAAATATTAATTTTCACAAAGTCTGCTGCTTCAGTGTTTTTAGATCTTCTTGTCAGATATTACTATGGTATACTGAAGTATAATTACAAGCATTTCATAAGTGTCCAAGGCTTTTATTGACAAAGTACATTAAAAGTTTATGCAAAGAGTCAATATTTGCAGTGTTGACCCTTCTTTTTCAAGGTCTCTGCAATTCACCCTGGCATGCTGTCAGTCAACTTCTGGAACACATCCTGACTGATGGCAGCCCATTCTTGCATAATCAATGCTTGGAGTTTGTCAGAATTTGTGGGGTTTTTTTTGTTCATAAGCCTCTTGAGATTGACCACAAGTTCTCAATGGGATTAAGGTCTGGGGAGTTTCCTGGCCATGGACCCAAAATTTCAATGTTTTGCTCCCCTAGCCACTTAGTTATCACTTTTGCCTTATGGAAAGGTGCTCCATCATGCTGGAAAAGGCTTTGTTCGCACCAAACTGTTCTTGGATGGTTGGGAGAAGTTGCTCTCGGAGGATGTTTTTGTACCATTCTATATTTATGGATGTGTTCTTAGGTAAAATTGTGAGTGAGCCAACTCCCTTGGCTAAGAAGCAACCCCACACATGAATGGTCTCAGGATGCTTCACTGTTGGACAGGACTGATGAGAGCGCTCAACTTTTCTTCTCTGGACAAGGTTTTTCCCAGATGCCCAATCGGAAAGGGGATTCATCAGAGAAAACAACTTTACCCCCAGTCTTCAACAGTCCATTCCCTGTACTTTTTGCAGAATATCAGTCTGTCTCTGATGTTTTTCCTGGAGAGAAGTGGCTTCTTTGCTGCCCTTCCTGACACCAGGCCATCCTCCAAAAGTCTTTGCCTCATTGTGCATACAGATGCACTCACACCTGCCTGCTGCCATTCCTGAGCAAGCTCTGCATTAGTGGTGCCCTAATCCCGCAGCTGAATCAACTTTAGGAGACAGTCCTGGTGCTTGCTGGACTTTCTTGGGCACCCTGAAGCCTTCTTCACAACAACTGAACCTCTCTCCTTGAAGTTCTTGATTATCTGATAAATGGTTGATTTAGGTGCATTCTCAGTAGCAGCAATATCCTTGCCAGTGAATCCCTTTTTGTGCAACACAATGATGACTGCATGTGTTTCCTTGCAGGTAACCATGGTTAGGAAAAACAATGATTTCAAACACCACCCTCATTTTAAAGCTTCCAGTCTGTTATCCTAATTCAATCAGCATGACAGAGTTATCTCCAGCCATGTCCTTGTCAACACAGACACTTTTGTTAATGAGAAAATCACTGACATGATGTTAGCTGTTTTTTTTTTGTGGCGGGGCTGAAATGCAGTGGAAATGTTTTGGGTTTATTTTTTCGATTAAGTTTATTTTCATGGAAAAGAAGGACTTGGCAATTAATTGCAATTCATCTGATCACTCTTCAAAACATTCTGGAATATGTAAATAAATATAATAAAAAACTGAGGCAGCAGACTTTGTGAAACCTAATATTTATGTCATTCTCAAACCTTTTGGCCAGGATTGTACATCTAGGTTAACATCTAGAAAGCTCCCCACTGTGGGATGCTACCAACAATTAAAATCAACACAATTGACTGATACTCAGGAAAACAGTGATTTGTAGGGATAACTTATGACTGTTTTTTTTTTTTTTAAGTGGAACTAAACTCTCCATCCATTACAGCCAAGGAAGCTGTCATCTTAGCCTGTTTGATCTGCAGACATGGTGCTGTTTATGTTATGACATTTAATGGAATGACAGTTTAGCTGACAGCAGAAACAGCTGTGACAGTTATTCACGGAATGTCTCGACTGTTATGGTTTTGAGAAACAGTTAAATTGAATGGTTTAGTTCCACTTTAACATCCTTGTATAACCTGTATTTGTTGGTCTGTCAGTTTCAGGACAACTGACAGGATTGCTTCTTGCAGGCAATCTAATATTTATTATAACTGATATAGCGCAGCAGGCTGAATTAGCCTATCAGTGTTAGCAGTCCTCCTGTTTAAAGTTCTGATAAAAAAAAAGTCCACCACACTCCACCATGCAGTTAAACTCACCACTGTAGATCAAAACACCCCAGGATGAAGTGAGTGGTGAATATGAGGGATGTGTGATGACAACACCACTAAGTGAACTACAGTTTCTGGCAATACTTAAAGAGGAACTAAAGGGAGAAATACTCAGCTCCCCTCCCCCCAATGGTCCCTGTTCCTTGTTGGCACTGGCCTCTTCTTGTGTGTGCTGGTTTTCAGCCATCTTCATTGGCCGGCAGGGGATGATATCACTCCTGCACATATGCATGAGCTAATAATCCCGGCACACAGGGATCGGGCCTGCTGCTAGAACAGGGGTGGGCAAACTTTTTGACTTGAGGGCCGCAATGGGTTCATATATTGGACCCGGGGGCCGGACCAAGAGTAGATGAATTATGTGTCATCCATAGTATGTATAGTAATATTCCCCCATAGTAAGCATAGTAATAAATCCCCCATATAGTAATTCATCCCCCATAGTAATTCATCCCCCATATAGTAATTCATCCCCCATATAGTAATTCATCCCCCATATAGTAATTCATCCCCCATATAGTAATTCATCCCCCATAGTAATTCATCCCCCATATAGTAATTCATCCCCCATATAGTAATTCATCCCCCATATAGTAATTCATCCCCCATATAGTAATTCATCCCCCATATAGTAAATTCATCCCCCCTATAGTAATTCATCCCCTATAGTAATTCATCCCCCATAGTAATTCATCCCCCATAGTAATTCATCCCCCATATAGTAATTCATCCCCCCTATAGTAATTCATCCCCCCCTATAGTAATTCATCCCCCATATAGTAATTCATCCCCCCTATAGTAATTTCATCCCCCATAGTAATTCATCCCCCCTATTAAGTCCCCAAGTCCCCCCCTGTGTCAATTCACTTACCTTTGCTCCGCGCGTTCCTCTCGCCGTGTTCCCGCGCCGTTCCGGTGCAGCATGAAAATCTGTCTCCTATGAGGATCTGTCCCCCTCGACGTATCTGCGCATGTGCCAGTTTCAGGCATTAGCAGCCGATCGGCGATCTCCGGCACATGCGCAGATACGTTGAGGGGGACAGATCCTCATAGGAGACAGATTTTCATGCTACACCGGTCTTCAGGGCGGACTGTGAAAGGAGCCTAGTGGGAGCCTAGCTCCGTGGGCCGGATTAAAAGGTCCGCCGGGCCGTATACGCCCGCGGGCCTGCTAGAAGCTGAGCTGCACAGCTCAGTTTACATGTTGGGGAATGCTGAGATTAGGCAGGTAGATGTATTTTATTGCAGACGAGACATTGTATCTCTTCTGCAATTAAAAAAAAAACGCCTGCTCTCAGTAAATAACAGAGGAAATTTAGTTCTGCTTTAAATGTGCAACACTTAATTGGCAATACTTAAAGCCTAGCTCCAGACATTTTACTTTTTTATTGTTAAGCTTTGGGTAGACTGGGGAAGAGTTCTGACAGGTTTTTGTTTCTGTCTGTAAAACCCTTCTGGAAGATTCTCTCCAACCTCCTGTCCCTGTGGACAACCATACAAGAAATGGGGGAGTGGCTGTTACTGGAGCAGAAAAACACAGACAGCAATAAAAACATTGTTGAAAATTGTAACCCTTTCCCACGCTTCTAAAAGAAAACTTTTTAAATCTGTTTTCCTGTTAGGGAAATTTTCTCCCACTTCTTGTTCCCACAGGAATGTAAGGCTACATTTGCACAGGCGATCTGGCCCAGTGTGAAGGACAGCAGCAGGATTCTGATGATACCTGCTCCTGTTTTTGGTAACTGAGTGGATAGCTTCAGCTGCTGAGCCCCTACACCGAGAGTTCGGTGGTGGCCGCAGCTATATGTGGCTGTTTGCACAGCCAGTAATTACCTGCGGGGATCACTACTGGCCACAGATAGCTGCGTCCGCCACCAACCTCTCATTAAAGAGTATGGGCTTGGTGGTTGCAGCAATCCACATACAGGTGCCAAAAACAGCTGTTTTGGGCCAAATCAGCTGTGCAGATGTAGCTTAACTGCTTCCTGACCACCCTATAGCAGAACTACTGCTACAGAGTGGCAGGGCTGCGCAAAATCATGTATATATATGTGATTTTGCATTTCCGGGTAGAAAATGCACGTGCGTCGCCCTACTCACGCCGCCATTGGTGACTACAGATGTCGATCACCAGGTCCCGGTCGGAGATTCCCCGCTGGCATACAGCGATCGCCAAGTATCACTGACAAAGGAGAGACCTGTGTGTAAAACACATGTCTCTCTCCTGCCAGCAGTAACATGCTGCTGTGTATTTCTCTGCACAGTAGAGAAATACACAGCAGTATGTTTTCCTAGTAAAAACACACAGTACACAGAGTAAAACAGCACACAGTTAACCCTTTGATTGCCCCAGATGTTAACCCCTTCCTGCCCAGTGTCATTAATACAGTGTCAGTGCTTTTTATTAGCACTGATCACTGTAGTAGTGTCATTGGGATGCCAGTGGCAGTCAGTTCCCCCCAGTATCAGAAGGCCCGCCACAGTCCTGCTGTAAGTCACTGATCGCCACCATTACTAGTATTAAAAAAAAAAAAAAAAAATTCTAGTATATATACCGCCATTTGTAAACGCTATAACTTTCACATAAACCAATTAATTTGCACGTATTGGGATTTTTTTTTGCAAAGACATGTAGCAGAATACATTTTAGCCTAAATTTATAAAGAAAGTTGATTTTTACATTTTTTTTACTGGATATGCTTTATAGCAAAAAGTCCAAAATATTGAGGGTTTTTTTCAACATTGTCGTTTTTTTTTTGTTTATAGCGCAATAAATTAAAAAACTGAACAGGCGATCAAATATCACCGAAAAGCTCTATTTGTGGGGGAAAAAAAAAGGACATACATTTTATTTATGTACAGTGTTGCATGACCGCGCAATTGTCAGTTAAAGTAACACAGCGCTGTATCACAAAAAATGGCCTGGTCAGGAGGGGGGGTAAATCCTCTGGAAGGCAAGTGGTTAAAGAAACTTTTCCTGCAAGAGAAAAATGAAAAGAGGTTCTAATGGCTTCCCACACTATTCAATATAACATGACTCTAAAGCAGAACTAAACCCTCCTTTCCTTTACAGCCAAGGAAGCTGCCATCTTAGCCTCTGTTTGATCTGCAGATGCCAGGGTGCTGGACATGTGATCAGTTATGACACCAGCCATTTGATAGTTCAAAGAGAACTGAAAAAACCCTACATACTCACCTAGATAGTTGCTGCATTCGTCTGATGCTGCAGCTGCCCCCCCGCGGGCTGTACACCGAGAAGTGAGTGATCAAAGACAGCTGATCACTCAGTTCTTGGGTCTATGCTAAACACCATCATTCACCATTCTGTGCTCTGCCCCTCCAATGCTCACTGGAGCACCAGATTGTAGAGGAGGCGGGAGCAGCTGGATCAGGCTCTCAGCAGCATACTGAGAGACTGAGCCAGCTCCTGATTGTGCATCTGGGCAGATCCTGACATTATTGTCGAGATCCCTGCAGAGCCTGGACCAGCTTTGTGATGTCAGCTGTCAGGTGAATCTAAGTCACAGGAGCGCAGAAACCTCATCTGGCCATATTTCCCTTTTTAGTTGACAGCACAAGTAACTGTGGTTATGGTTTGTGGCATGCCTAGAATGTAGATGTCTGAGGAGATAATTACATTGTTTTGTTTTCATATACTTACCATTGTATTCCTTTCCTCATGTCAGCTTAGGACGGGGTCAGGGGGTGGAGTTGACCCATGATATGCAGACATGAGGAAGACCAGAGAACAAAGGCTTGGCTGGGGTAGGGTATGAGGGGAGAGATGGGGCAGATCACCTCTGCATTACTAGAAGGCCTGGCAGTGACACCATCATGTATTGCTTATAGAGACAAGGGACATCAAGGGCAGCACAGTGGCTAAATGGTTAGCACTTCTACTGGCAGCACTAGGGTCATTGGTTCGAATCCCAGCCACAGCACCACCTGCCTGGAGTTTGCATGTTCTCCCTGTGCCTGTGTGGGTTGTCTCCGGGTACTCCGGTTTTCCCCCTCACTCCAAAAACATGCTGGTAGGTTAATTGGCTCCTGTCTACATTGTCCCTAGTATGTGTATGTATGAATGTAAGTTAGGGACCTTAGATTGTACACCCCTTGAGAGTTAGGGACTGATGTGAATGTACAATATATATGTAAAGCGCTGTGTAAATGGTCGGCGCTATACAAGTACCTGAAATAAATAAAATCTAATAAGAAGGAACAGAAAGAATAACACAGAAGGAGTCATTAGGGCGGCTGTAACAACTCTGCAATACAATATGAAGTGATTCAGCTGCATGCATGGGATTTGGAGTTGGTCGCCACAGGCAGAGAACCATCTACTGACAGAGAACTACAAGGATCAGCACTGACCTCCCTCTGTGTGTACCAGGCGGGCGGACTACAGACGACTCACTACTTCCCACTCTGCGACCTCCAGGACCTGAGAACCGGAGACGCTGCTTGATGACATCACGAACCAACACAGCGCTGCGTTCCACGTCTCGCTCCAACAACCCCAACGTCTCCGTGATTGGTCACTGGCTCACCAAAGAGAGGAATCCTTCAGCATCATGTGACCCGCCCTTTTTAAAGGGCAATGCCCTCAGCGCTACTCCTGTCCTGACAGAATGGAGGAATATGTGCGGGAGCCATGGTAACGCGGGCATTATGGGAGATTTTATTTTTATACAGCCCTGGGTGAGGGTGGGGGTGCTGGGAGACTGACTACCCAGCTGAGCTCTGTGGGAGATTGAATATCAACATGGCGCACAGCATGCTGGGAGGTTGGTTGTACAAGCAGAGGATTCTGGGATGTGGGGCTCAGAGAAGATTATGTTGGCTCAATGCATTCTATAGGTCAGGGGCAAGGCATGCTGGGGGGTGCTGGAATGCTCTACAGTTGTGGACGGCAGGGTTGGAAGGTGACACCCTCCAGGAACGCCCCCCCCCCCCCCCCTAAAAGAAGGCCCGCAGGATGAAATCATAAGAGCCGCCATTGCTGACTTGTTTTTATGGCGCCATCCTCTTCTTTCTTCCTTAGTAGATCATTAATCCTAGCGAGAATGGGGCGATGTTTGTTACCAGGCCGCAAGGCCTAGCCAATGCACCTGAACAGGCACTTTTTACATTTTGTATATTTATTTATTTAGATTTCTACCTGTGTCACCCTGCCCTTCTACTACTATAGTCATACTTACTGGACGGTAGGGAGTGGGTGTCTGGGCCTACCCTGGAGTCTAGGGGAGGATGTGTGGCCATTACGGTCCTTCCTTCCCTTCCACCAGAAGAAAGCTCTATTTGTATGAAAAAAAAAAAAAAGATAAAAATGGCATATGGGTAGTGTTGCATGATGGCGCAATTGCCATTCAAAGTGTGATAGCACTGAAAACTGGCCTGGGTAGGAAGGGGGTAAAAGTGCCCGGTAGGCAAGTGGTTTAATACAAGTGTAACTTGTTACTAAAGCTGAACCTTTAAAGCAAAACTCCTGGGAGAAGTAAACCTCCTCCCTTGTAGTGGGGCTGCACTTGCACTGTGAGGGTTAAATTCTTGTTTAGTCTAGGGGACAGTAAGAGCAGTTTTACTTTATCTGATCCTCCACTCCCCCCTCATTACATTCTGGCAGTGGACTGTTCCGTGGCTTCCTCATGTGTTGATGACATCAGGGGCTTTTGAGTGCAGGGGAGAAGAGGCTACAAGGAGCGGTCTAGCAGCATGGAGGAGCCTGTGGGAGCAGAGGACCAGGTGGTTACATTTGTTTTGGCCACCTAGACCTAAATGAGAAAACCCTGGTTGTCAGAATGGTGGTAATGGGAGATTTGTCCATCCATGTTGTTAAGCATGGATGGGGAACTCTCTGGATTTTTCTCATTCAGCCCAGAGGAGTCTTTATGTAATGCCCCTTTACCCTTCCCATAGATATAAACTATCAGTTACCTTTACTTTTGCCAGAGATCAGCTTTAAAGTGTCATGAGCGTATTATGCTGGCTGCCTTTATCTCTTGTGAGGGGCTTGGCTCCCTGACTGATGTTATACTGATGCTTTGGCTTCAATGCTTTCCGAGTCACAGACCGGGAACAAGCATATTGTAAACATGAGTCAAGCGTGACACAGATAGGAAACTAGCAACTTTAACTTCAGGCTAACAATGGCAGCCCCAGTGCTGAATGAATGAAAAGATGCAATAATGGACTGAACTAGTCCACAGCCTGCAGGCTGGTACTTTACAGTCCAAATCTGCCTTTCCTTAAACCCATTGTCAAAGGGCAGTGAAATAATAATTTATTATTATTATACAGGATTTATATAGCGCCAACAGTTTGCTCAGCGCTTTACAATATAACTGGAGACAATACAGCAACAATACAATTCAATACAAGAGGGTTAGGAGTGCCCTGTTCCTTGGAGTTTACAATCTAGGATATTCATAGAAATTTATTTCTGATCTTGTTCCAATGATTCATTGTGTCCTGGGATAATTTTTCAGGTTCGGAAACTCACCTGAATGTGTTCATATGCAGCACACAGAGTATCAATGGTGTAGTAAGTGCAGTCCTCAGGAGCCAGTTCACTCTGGTGATACCTAGTTGGCAGAATATATAGGGACCATTCACATTGTTACAATTTAAAATGGATGGAAACCCTTACATATGCCCACTGAAGTGACTAGTCTCAGATGATACACAGAGATGAAGGATTTTCTCAGTAGCAGACAGCAGGGGGCGGAGATGTGACATCACACACACTGCAGAGCTAGAGCACAGAGCTCCATGAAATCTGATAGTTGATTGCAGGGAAGAGACACACCCCTTTTAAACAGGCTTATAGAAAAACATACAGAGCTAAGGTTGAGTCACCTGCTGTGTGCTGGAGGTGAGGTGGGCCATCTCCCAGAGGCTGAAGTGTTTGATTTGAGTTCTGTCAGTGGCTCATGCAGAGAGAGGAGAGATCAAAGAGAAGCCAGATCTTAACCCTGTCTACTCCAAATTCTAAATTCAGAACGGTGTCAACATGCATCAAAACACATGGTGATGCACAAATAAAACACTCGTTGATGCAACACATCTGCCTAACTTGTGTGCACACATATAGATTTGAAGGCTAAGTTCACTTAAGGAACTTATTACATTTTATGCCTGTGTTTAGGGTGTAACATGCAACACGTTCCTAAGCACCCACTTCTCACCCCACCCCATAAGAGCATGTGAGGCTGCACCTGTGCGGGGCTTCGCCCTCACTGCAGCATCATTCATTCACAGAGATCTGTGAATGAATGGACTACAAGTCCTGCCTGCCAGACAGACTTGCAGTTATCAATAGACTGTGTTAAGCACACTGTCCTTGTCCATTGACACTTCTAGCTTTGTAACTGAAAGCCTGTAAACAGGTGTCTGCAGGAGAATGACATTTACCTACGATCCACAGATCATGGGTGCAATGCTTTGCAGGCTCCTGTGGAACAAATTAAGAAATGCACATTTTTTTCCCCAGAGGTGAACTTGGCATTTAAATGGGCCCTTACTGGTATTTATTACCCACAGGATCACAGTCCCTCATGGCAATGCCTTTATATGATTCGCTCACTTACTGCAAAGTTACAATGTACAGTCTTAGTGATTACTGGGGAGAGGAGACAGACAATTCTTCCTCCTGCCTGCAGCAGACCAATGATATCTAGGCAGTATCACTGATAGGAGCCCACAGACTGCTTTTTAATGATATAAGGTGCGGCTCTTTGAAAAAAGATTATATTGTCAAATGTCAGCAGTTTATTCATGCAGAACAGTTCTTTAATAACTGAAACTCCTAGTTCTGCAATTGCTGTAATGTCATGGTTTGCTTCAATGAGTTTAAGCATGTTGGCACAGAAAAATTCTCTTATTCAAAAAAGTAAAATAACATATTTTAATTCTTCCTTATTTTATCCCTTCTCTTCTGCAGCCCATGGAGGATTGTGGATGATTGTGGTGGGGCTTTTACTATGGGCATCATCGGTGGAGGAGTGTTTCAGGCAGTTAAAGGTTTTAGGAATGCCCCAGTGGTATGTAGTTTTATCATTCATTTTATCAGTGATGTTTGTGAAAATTAAAATTGGTTGGGAACAATAGATATTCCATGTTCAGCATGTTCTTTGCTTGTCAGGGAATCCGACATCGTTTCCGTGGCAGTGTTAGTGCTGTGAAGATTCGCGCTCCTCAGATCGGAGGTGAGATCCTCGATTTTGTGTAAAACCAAAATGATAACCCTTATAAACCATAGAAATGAAATAGCTGTTTATTACAGGTACAGTCAGGTCCATAAATATTGGGACATCGACACAATTCTAACATTTTTGGCTCTATACACCACCACAATGGATTTGAAATGAAACAAACAAGATGTGCTTTAACTGCAGACTGTCAGCTTTAATTTGAGGGTATTTACATCCAATTCAGGTGAACGGTGTAGGAATGACAACCGTTTACATATGTGCCTCCCACTTGTTAAGAGACCAAAAGTAATGGGACATAATAATAATCATAAATCAAACTTTCACTTTTTAATACTTGGTTGCAAATCCTTTGCAGTCAATTACAGCCTGAAGTCTGGAACGCATAGACATCCCAGACACTGGGTTTCATCCCTGGTGATGCTCTGCCAGGCCTCTACTGCAACTGTCTTCAGTTCCTGCTTGTTCTTGGGGCATTTTCCCTTCAGTTTTGTCTTCAGCAAGTGAAATGCATGCTCATTCGGATTCAGGTCAGGTGATTGACTTGGCCATTGCATAACATTCCACTTCTTTCCCTTAAAAAACTCTTTGGTTGCTTTTGCAGTATGCTTTGGGTCATTGTCCATCTGCACTGTGAAGCGGCGTCCAATGAGTTCTGAAGCATTTGGCTGAATATGAGCAGATAATATTGCCCCGAAACACTTCAGAATTCATCCTGCTGCTTTTGTCAGTAGTCAAATCATCAATAAATACAAGAGAACCAGTTCCAATGGCAGCCATACATGCCCACACCATGACACTACCACCAACATGCTTCACTGATGAGGTGGTATGCTTAGGATCATGAGCAGTTCCTTTCCTTCTCCATACTCTTCTCTTCCCATCACTCTGGTACAAGTTGATCTTGGTCTCATCTGTCCATAGGATGTTGTTCCAGAACTGTGAAGGCTTTTTTAGATGTCGTTTGGCAAACTCTAATCTGGCCTTCCTGTTTTTGAGGCTCACCAATGGTTTACATCTTGTGGTGAACCCTCTGTATTCACTCTGGTGAAGTCTTCTCTTGATTGTTGACTTTGACACACATACACCTACCTCCTGGAGAGTGTTCTTGATCTGGCCAACTGTTGTGAAGGGTGTTTTCTTCACCAGGGAAAGAATTCTTCGGTCATCCACCACAGTTGTTTTCTGTGGTCTTCCGGGTCTTTTGGTGTTGCTGAGCTCACCAGTGCGTTCCTTCTTTTTAAGAATGTTCCAAACTGTTGTTTTGGCCACGCCAAATGTTTTTGCTATCTCTCTGATGGGTTTGTTTTGTTTTTTCAGCCTAATGATGGCTTGCTTCACTGATAGTGACAGCTCTTTGGATCTCATCTTGAGAGTTGACAGCAACAGATTCCAAATGCAAATAGCACACGTGAAATGAACTCTGGACCTTTTATTTGCTCATTGTAATTGGGATAATGAGGGAATAACACATACCTGGCCATGGAACAGCTGAGAAGCCAATTGTCCCATTACTTTTGGTCCCTTACCAAGTGGGAGGCACATATGCAAACTGTTGTAATTTCTACACCGTTCACCTGATTTGGATGTAAATACCCTCAAATTAAAGCTGACAGTCTGCAGTTAAAGCACATCTTGTTCGTTTCATTTCAGATCCATTGTGGTGGTGTATAGAGCCAAAAATGTTAGAATTGTGTCAATGTCCCAATATTTATGGACCTGACTGTATTTGGATACTGCAGACCATGTATGCAACACTTTCCATACTGTACATTCACATCAGTCCCTGTTCCCAAGGAATTTACGATCTAAGGTCCCCTATCTCCCATACACAGGGATTTTTTTCAGCGGGAACGCAGTTCCGGCACCTCCAGCACTGAATGTAATGGCAAGGGGCGCTGGAGTATCTGTTGTTGCTGGCGAATCTATTGTCTGTTGTTGCAGGGGTCTATTGTTGCTGGTTGGGGATCTCTTCTTAATGGGGGTCTTTGTTGTATGAATGGTTTTACTGTTGAGGGAGGGGTCTGTTGTCTTTTGTTACTGGATAGTCTATTGATGCTGACTGCTGGGAGTTGTCTATTGTTGCTGGGGTGGTATTTTGTTTTGGGGGTCCACTGTGCTGAAGGAATATATTGTTGCAGGGGAAGGGGGGGGGGGTCTATTGCGGCTTGGGATCTATTTTCTTGCTTTTGTAGTTATCATCATTAACAAATTCCATATAAATTATTTGGCACCACAAAATTATACTTGGCTCTGTATTCTCTAAAAGGAGAGGTACTGGGAGGTGGGTAGGGGGTGGAAACAAGTGACAGTGCTCAGAAGTGAGTAGGGGGTGGAGACAAGAAGTGACTCAGAAGGAGTTCCTGTACCTATTTTTTGAGGGGGAAAAATAAAGCCCTGCACATACATATTGTAAATACATACGGTACATGCTCACATATACTAGGGCCAATTTTAGATAGGAGCCAATTTAAACTACCAGCATGTCGTTGGAGTGTGGAAGGAAAGCCATACAAGCACAGGAAGAACATGCAAACTCCATGTAGGTAGTGTCCTGATTGGGATTCTTTGCACATTTGAAGTTCTCCGATTCGCTACACCCTGTCAGACTGTCTGCACCAACCTGTCAAGGCATTAATGGCAATTTAGAACAGAAGTCCTGAGATCTGTCCCTGAGCTTGTCAGACCCACATTTTTTAATGCATCTTTTTTCAAGAAAATTGTCATTCTGATCCTAGAGCTTCCATACCAGAGTTGCTGGCCCAAAACATATATGCAAATCCGGAGTTCAGACTTCACCAGCTGTATAGTTGTTCCAGGGTTAGTGATTAGGCCAGTACTGAAGCCAATAAAATGTTCCTGGGGGAGCTATCATAAGAGGGTATGTTTGATAAGCTCTATCTTACGGGAGTTCTGGGGATTATTTCAGTAATGGGTTTCTAGAGCAGCTGTCTTTTACAGTGTATCAACCACACGCATTGCAACACAGGAGGAGACACAAACATTCAGACTTGTCCATGTGCCCTTGCCTGTTAGAGACTAGGGAACCCTTTAAAGCTCAGTAGTATTTATTTTTTTTGTAGGGATGATGTTGAGGGAGCTGAAAAAAAAGCTATTAGATATCTACCTTTACCTGCTAGCAATACTCACACTCCCTGATTTTAAAATGCAGTGATTTATTTCCCTTCTGAATTGCAGATGGCAGCTTTTAAAATCCCTATGGTGTTTTGTGACCTTGTATATATACTTAACAAAACATCGCTCCATGTGCCAATGCTATGGCTCTAGTATACCACTCAAGAAGGGTTCTGGTGTGTGTGGTAATCAGTAAGCCGTATAATAGGTAGTAGTTGAACACCGCACACCAAACGGCTCCAAATGCAAAATATCGGCCTCAGCCATGGCTCCTCCCAGTAGCCATGCCACAGACACGTTTCGCCCTGCCCACAGGGCTTCGTTATAGCCTAAGCCCTGTGGGGGGGACGAAACACATCAGACATGTATCTATTTGGAGGAGCCATGCCGGAGGCCGTTTTTCACTACCTAGGCAGTTGGAGCTGTTTTGTGTGCAGGGTTCATCTACTCCTATGGTGTAATGTTATACATAATGGCCTAGTTACAACTGTTCAAGCTGAAATATGGTACAGTTTTCTGAAATACCTCAATGAGAAAATATACCTAATTTTGCACTCTATATGAAGCTTATGGTACAGAAATGAGTCTATTTGAAAAAATAAGGAAAAATTGAATTCAGCTTGCATGAATGCTTCTGACATTTGTCCAGCAAACGTTTTAGAAATGGACCCTATAGTGTCCAGTGAAGTGCTTTTTCATTACAATTCCCTTTCACATGTTTTCTTTTCTAACTACCACTCTGTGTTCTCTAACAGGCAGCTTTGCGGTATGGGGTGGCCTCTTTTCCACTATTGATTGCAGCTTAGTGAGGATCCGAAGAAAGGAGGATCCATGGAACTCCATCACCAGTGGAGCACTTACAGGAGCCATACTGGCCTCTCGAAGTAAGAAAACCAAACCTCTAGGACATTTCAAAAATTTGTACAGGTCAAAAACTGGAGTGTTTCTGGGCTTTTGAAAAAAAATTATAGATAGATCTAGAAAGAAAATAAAACACATCCACAATCAAGTGAAAAGAGCACAGTCACTTCGTGTCCTCCAGTACTTGTTTCCTCAAGCCTAGCAGAAACATCAAAATAGTTTATTTTTCCCTTAGGCTTTTGTGCTAGTTGTAGGGGCATCCTAGTATATGCTTCCCCATGATTCCAGGAACTGTGGACTTGGAGGGGTTGTATATCTGAGGATTTCTAGGCTATTTTTTGAAAGTATCCTAGTTGTGGGACCTTCCCTCCCCATTACCTTCTTCGTTTCCCCAAGGTTCCTTCTCTGTCGGAGGAGAAGTAGCAATCCCTGTGAGTACCGAGGCTCTAGTGGACCCCTTCCTTACATTTGGTTAAGCTCCAAGTCCTCAGTGGCTGGCTGAGCTCCTGATGTTTGCTGCTGACTTGTATGGATAGATCATGGCCGCTGGCTTCCCCAAATCTTTTGGAGGGAAAACTGCACGGCTGGGGCAGGCTCATACTCCACCTTCCTGCATATCCCTGAGGTTGGAGCAGAGGCATCTGGAGTCCCTGACTACTTCCAGATGGGGGGGGGGGGGGGCGCATGTCTGCTGAGCCAGGTGAACTATGGTGCATAGGCCGGGACAGACTACAGCCTGCTATGCCGCAGGTCCCCCTGAATTTGGATCAATATGGTGAGTTTGTGAGTATACCCTGGTGCCAGCATCCACAGATACCAGGGAGGGAGGGGAAACGGGTGGGGGATGGAGCAGTAGGCAGCCCTGGATCTTCCCAGGAGTATTATAGCATACTTCATCGGGTCAGCAAGGCTACACTATGCAGTCTGATTCTGCCATGACAGCTGCTATGAATCTGGCAGATGGCGCCAGAGTAGGTTTGTTGGAGTTTTTCCCCTATAACTGTCCTTCCTACCTTACCCATACTGTAGGGAGGCACAGTGTGGGGTTACCCTTAGGAGGATGTCCTAACTTTGGGTGTTAGCTGCTCTTACAAGCACAGGGTGAATGTGCTTCATGTTTCAGTCCACCATTAGTGTGGTAATTTGGAGGCAGAGGCTGTAACACCTGTCAGTCTGCAGAGCAGAGTGCTGGCAAACTCCAGTGATCAGCAGAAACTACAACCTGTTAACTTCTTCCTACATTTATAATACACTTGTGCAGGGCTATTTGGATCTGCTTACTCCATGTTTACCATCAATTACACTCATTTGTTTTCAGCAAGGGAAGGTGACAGCCTAGTGTGGTTTAATTAGGACTTTCTGTACTTGGATTTGGGCAATAACCCACCCCTAGGCTGAACTAGAAACCTAAAATATGGATCCTGCAACCTTTAGCCTAGGTTCACTCTACAGCGGGGCAGTAAATCCCATGTGATTCGCACAGGAACCGTACCGCATTCCTGTACAAATCACATGCGATTTGTATGTGGTGCAATTAGAGCCATACATTTTGTATGGCTCTATTTGCACTGCACCCGCACCAAAAAAGTGCAGGACTCTTTTTTTTTTTTTTTTTTTTTTTTTTTTTTTTTTGGTCCGCACTAGAATCGGATCGCATAGGTATTCACACCTATGCGATCCAATTCTGCACATTGCACTGCGTTTTGCGGACCAATGTCGAGGTGTTAACTTGGCATACACACACGCAACGGTTCGTATGAACGGGGTGCGATTGTGATGCAGTGCGGAATTCGCACTGCAAACGCTGCAAATTCCGCACCACATCAGTGTGAACATTTCTGAATTGATAGGCTCCTGGGCTAAACCTCCATGCAAGGGTTGTATAGATACACCTGTGTTTTTAATGATTGCCCATTAATGCCTGATTGCTCTGATTATACACTTCAGGGCTAGCATGGTTTACCACCTCTTCCAAAGGTGTCCGCAGCTTTCATTTATCACTAGATTTGGACTTGTTAAGATCTTGTGAGCTAGGGGGCTATTTCAGTCTCCCACCTTTGTGGGGGCTATATAAAGCAATCTTGGTGTACTGCAGTGCTTTAGGGGAATCACTGTGTGCCTGCATTGATTAAATACATAGTATTAAGGAGACTCATATTTGCTTCCGTTCCAACTAAAATATTTGGTTATGTCTAGAGCTGAAGCATTGCCTATTATGGGGTATCAATATCAGCTATGTACTCCAATGGTGTGCTTAGGCTTAGACTTCTATTACCTGGAGCTCCCTGGGTTCCTCCACTGGATAAATATATAATGGATTGGTAGCCAGAGATTAGGCTATATCTTTTACATGTGATCATGTGAAATGTTGGCTTTGTGGCATAGGCATTAATTGTATATGTATTGCTGATTGCTTGGCATTAGATGGAAACACTGACTCTAACCCGAGGGTCAGCAACCAGTAGATCGTGGCCAGGTGACTGGTAGATCATGGTTAGGGCTTGCTGACCTGCCATCCCGGGTCATCAGAGTGCAGTGCAGAGGGACTACTTATAAAGTTGGAGCTGTAGTAGGGAGCAGGAGCTGCATAAGCCGATGTCACCACTGTAGTGGTGGCTACTACACACTGTCATGGTTGGAGGGTGTAGCACCTGCCAAGCATGCCCCATTCAAGTGAATGAGGCCACTCTGCAAGTGCCCTGAAACCTTGTGCAATACAGCAAACAAGGGGTTTAAAAGGCAGCTGTGTGTTGCTTTCTCATCTCCTGCTTTACCCTTTGGACCCCACAGAAGCAGTTGTGGGGCACTTGCAGAGTGGCCCCCATTTACTTGAATAAGTCTCAATTGACCGGCAGTAACGTTCATCAAAAAGCAATAGGGGGTTTAATTCCTGCTGCAGCATGTGTATATCTTTGGCTGCTGCATCAACAGCTAAAATGGGTAGGGATTGGGGGCAGTAAAACCATGACTTATTTGCAGGGTTTTACCACCCCCTAACTTTACATGTCAATGAACCCTAAAAGTGCCACAGCCGGTGCAACTAAGGGCTCATTCACAGGTGCAGCAGGCATTGCTGCTCCTCTGCAAAGTGAACTGAGTGTGTTTGACAGGCTTTGAGGAGGAGATATATTGCCTTCTCACCACCTGATTTAACCACTTGCCTACTGGGCACTTTTACCCTGTTCGTGCCCAGGCCAATTTTCAGCTTTCAGCGTTGTCGCACTTTGAATGATAATTGCGCGATCATGCAACACTGTACCCATATGAAATTTTTATCATTTTCTTCACACAAATAGAGCTTTTTTTTTTTTTTTTTTGGTGGTATTGACTCGCCGCTGGGTTTTATTTTTTGCGCTATAAACAAAAATAAAGCAAACTGTTTTGAAAAAATGTTTTTCTTTGTTTCTGTTATAAGATTTTGCAAACAGGTACTTCTTCTTCTTCACTGATGTGTGCTGATGGGGGCCGCACTGATGGCTGGCACTGCTGGGCAGCACTGATTGGGGGGGGCACTGCTGGGCACAGGTGGGTAGCACTATTAGGCACTGATGGGCACTTGTGGTCGGCACAGCTGGGCACAGGTGGGCGGCACTGGTGGTTGACACTGCTGGGCACTGATCATCAGGGCACTGATCATCCGTGCCAATCCGTCCTCGACATTTGCCGGTTATCGACAGTACTCTCCTAACGCTGTGACAGCGTGAGGAAAGTGTAGCCGATAACCGGCAACTGCATTTACCCGGTGATCTGCTGGGTCATTGGACACAGCTGATCACGTGGTAAAAGGCTGTTGTGATTGGCCTTTTACCACATCACGTGATCAGCTGTGTCCGTAGGACACAGCGATCACGGAGATCACCGGGGGTGCGCAGGAGGGTGCGTTCTGGGAGGACGTCACATGCAGAAGTGGACTGATAACTCATGGGGCCCCCGGTCAATAGGGGATCATGGGGCCCCTGTGTCCTCGCCCACACTTAAACAACACCCAAAAAAGCCTATGAAAGGTACCAGGGGAATCTCATGGGGCCTTCTACTGACCCCGGGCCCTCTGGCAGTGCTTGAATGGTCAGTCCGCCCCTGGTCACATGACGCCCTCCCAGAACTGGACAACTGTGCTATAGCTTTCATTCAGCTATAGCGCAGTTGGCAAGTGGTTAAACCCATGATCGCCGTGCAATGCATGCAATTGTGACACGATAGTACGGCAATTAGAGGTTTAAATCGGGTGTGAGGAGGCGACACTGTGTCCTGTGATCTTTGACTTCTCCCATGTTGTTCAGGTAGATCTCTACCTCTTTAAACCTGCCTACCCCTGCTCTAACCTCATGCTTCTGCAGTATGTTACGTATGTCTCTATGTATTTAAATGCACAACAATGGAGCTAATGCTTGTGGTGTTTTGTTCATATTCTTTTGGTGCCATTATGGATCATGCCTTATATGTGATTCAGTATCTGGACTCTGTATATGTAATAGTTCAAATGGTCTGCTTGAAGTATAGGCCTCATTTGTATATGTGGCTACATTAATTGGGAGGATTTTACTTGTGTGAAAATACCTGACCTTAACATTGACATATGCAATCTGCCATATGTTATCTTGATGAATTAATGTACATCGACAAAAAGGAAGTTAATTTGTTTAGAGATAAAAATCTCTGGTCACTGAGACCTTACTAGAGTATCTTTATGCAATGTCTTAGGCCAGTGGTCGGCAAGCCGCGGCTCGCGAGCCACATGCGGCTCTTTACACACTCTAATGCGGCTCTTCTGTGTGCCGGCGCCCGCTCCCCTCCCTCCTCTCAGGCGGCCGCCCCAAAAGTCAGGACTCTGCAGCTAGCCCAGCAATGGGCAAACTACGGCCCGGCGGACCTTTTAATCCAGCCCGCGGAGCGTGGCAAACATTGGCTGTCAGGATGTAGGCGGGGCAGCGTGACGAACTCCTCTCCTCTCACAGTCCGCCCTGAAGACCGGAACGGCGCGGGAACACAGCGAGAGGAACGCGCGGAGCAAAGGTAAGTGAACTGACACAATAGGGGGGATGAATTACTATGGGGGGATGAATTACTATGTGGGGGATGAATTACTATGTGGGGGATGAATTACTATGTGGGGGATGAATCACTATGTGGGGGATGAATCGCTATGTGGGGGATGAATCGCTATGTGGGGGATGAATTACTATGGGGGATGAATTACTATATGGGGGATGTATTTTCAGTTTTAAAAATGTGGCTCTCAAAATAAATTTCAATCGTGGTTTTGGCGAGATTTGGCTCAGTTGGAAAAAAAAGGTTGCCCACCACTGTCTTAGGCCATACATATGAATTCCACAGCCTGCTGTATTACATTATATATGTGTTATTTGTTATTACAAAGTAGTCAGTTCATTAAAAAAATGCATTATTTACCGAATGCATTAAATATTTATGTTTTGCAATATTTAGCACTTACATTTCGTGTTATTTTTGGTGTTTGTTCACTTTTTTTTTTTTTTTTTGCAGGCTAACACTACACCAGAAGGCACACTGCAATTATGTGAAACTATGAAAACATTCCGGTGTGCTTTCATTTACAAAATGATCTCCCTCTGATGAAATGTTACAATTTATTTTCATACCTGAGCTCAGAGGAGAACATTTTCACATTGTTACATTGTATACTTTTCACTTTCTGGGCAGTGCAGAGTTCCTCAGATTGTTACTTTGTGCGTTTCTAAAATACTGCCAGCAAACACCAGGTGATAAAGAATGTGTGTGTTTTTTAATGAATTGACTTTAACGATTTATCTCATTTTTTTGCGGTATTTATCTCACTATTTTAACAAATGTGCAGTATTTACCTCACATTTCGATATGTTACTTTTGATGAATTGACGCTTATATTATCTCATGCAATATTTCTGAAAAATGAGTCACGTGACCTTCATATTTCATGCTGTAACCTTTAGTGAATTGACCTCATAGTCTTCTTTTGAAAGATGATCCTTGTTGCAGAAGGTTCTGCAAGATTTGTTGTTCTTGCTGTTGTTTCCTGTATGAATACTGGTCCTGTGTATTCTACAAGTTACTTTAATTTTATGGTTTTTGTTTTTTTTTTTAATTAATGGAGATGTCAGACATTAATACAGTAAACTCAATGTAAGCGAGTTGAACAAACCTTTTGGTTCAGACATGAAGCAAGTACAAAAGCCTGTGGGCATGATATTCAATGACGTTCACAATCGGGACCAAAGGTTATTCAATTTCATATATTCGTATGAAACATATCCATATCAAAGCAAGCAAGTAAGTTTATTCCTGACAATCAAGACTGCATTTTCCCAGGTTTGAGACCCATCCATATAAATAACATATCTCAGTTATTGGTTACAGTGAGGGTGGATGAGCACCAGACATCCCACACTTTGTTATATTTCTTGGGGCAACCCCTGTGTTCATAAATAAGCTTTTCATGTGGCAATATCTGATTCAACAATTGAATCCATTTATGCAAAGAGTGAGAGAGTAGACTGAATCCATTTGAGTGCTATAGCCTTGCATGCCAGGAATAAGGATTTCCACAGCAGAATTCATGTTATATTTTATGTACATGACTTTGGAGGGTATTTGTCCTTGCAGGTGTACATGGAAGACCCATGGGGTTTTCCACTGATCCTTCATTCAGCAGAGGATCAAATCCCTTTTATTCAACACACATTACCAGGTGCACTCCCCATGCCTGAATCCGGTAAGGATAGAAGACATGGTTCCAGTCATCTCCCATTGGAGGTAGATGGAAGAAGAAGAAAAATCTACTTTTTAAGCATATAATTTGTAAAGTAATTTAGGAGGTTCCCTCATCATATATTCATGGTGTTCTGCTTGTGGAGGTATTGACATTATAGTTGAATTTTGAAGCCATATCAATTACAACACTGAATCAGTTACATGAATTTGTGTGGCCAGAATAATCCTTTCCTATGATCTCTGATTTTTTTATAGTAGTATAAAACTAGTGGTGCACCGAAATGAAAAATCTGGTGCCAAAACAGATATCGAAAATTCAGAATGCATGTGGCCAAAAACCGAAATGTCTGTGTATATGGGGGTGGGGAGGCTCCAATTTTTTTTTTTTTTTCTACTTTTCATGTATATTTTTTAGTTATTTTTTTTTTAACTTATGATTTTATTGCTATCACGTAGGGGGCCAATAGTCCCCTATATGATAGCATTTGCGTGACAGGTCCTCTTTGTGAGGGGGTGGGGGGCAGTGTGTGCAAGGAGGGGAGCAGTGTATACAAAGAGGCTCCCTCACTGGCTGTCACTATGTCAGTGCCGGTTTTTAAATGCAATTGCCACCTTTTTGTTTGTTTTTTTTTCTCTCTTCACTATAGTTCACAGAATTATCTGTCTCTTTCCCTGGAGCTAAAGGAAACTTTGTTTCTTTTAACTTGGGGAAATAAACTAAAAGGAAACTTTTTTGTTTCTTTTAGCTGGGGGGAAAGTGACAGCTAATTCTGTGAGCTATAGTGAAGAAAAAAAAAAGCCGGAAATTACATTTAAAAACCAGCACTGACCTATAGTGACAGCCAGTCACTGTATATACTGCTCCTCTCCTGCCTTTCTCAGGGAATCCCTATGGAGAGGGAAAAAACAAGTTTGTTTGTTTTTGTTTTTTTTTGTTTTGTTTTTTTTTTTTTTCAGTCCTTGACTGCTTGACCACTATAAAACATATCCAATAAAAAAAAAATGCCCAGTGACACTAATACAGTGATGATCAGTGCTGAAAAAAGGCACTGACACTGTACTAATGACACTGGGTAGAAAGGGGTTAACATCTGGGGTGATCAAAGGGTTAACTGTGTTACTAGGGAGACACTGCTTTACTGTGCTGTGCAGAGAAATACAAAGCAGCATGTCAAGGCTGACAGGAGAGAGACCTAGTCAACTTCCCCGATGATCGCCCAGTGCCAGTCGGGAATCGCCGGCTGGGACCCAGTGATTGACATCTCTAGCCTCCAATAGTTGCGCAGGTAGGGCGGCACGCACTCTCTACCCGGAAATGCAAATCACAAATATACACATGATATTGCGCAGGCCTGCTTCCCTGTAACAGTAGATCTGCTATACGGAGTAGGGCAAGTGTTTAATAGCCAAAAACTGTCCAGGTGCTACCCAGTGGTGCATTTAGGTTTCGTGCTGGCCTAGGCAGGCAGGAATTAAACCCTCTCTCGCCTTTTTTATTTTCTGTCTGTAAACCCATCAGGTAGATTTTTTCTTTACTTAAGCTACCTATAATATTCATACAAGAAATAGGTAAACTTGCAAAGCCACTCTCTGGCATTAAACAATGGAAGGAGAAGCACCTGCACAATATCCTGATAAATAAATAGCACCAAAAACTTGTATGTGCTGTACTTTCACTGTCCCTTTTTGAAAAGTACATGTCGCCTTAAATGTGCATATAAATATATCTTTATATCAGTGCATCATCATACATGTAATAAAAAAAATCAAAAACAAGTACAAACAATACTGTGAACATGAAAGGGATCAAAGGAATAGCAAGTTGGGTTACATTCACACGGATGATTTGGCCAGTGCTAATGACACCAGCAAGAATCTGATGATTCCTGCTGCTGTTTTTAGAATAATAGGAAAGTAGAAGAGCCTGATGTCCAAAAGAATGCACTTTTGTAGATTAAACGTTGCTGCCCCTGGAATGACAACCGTCACTCTGTCAGGTTTTTTTCTTTTTTTCTCCGAAACCTGGAAAAGATATATAACCGGCGTGGGAATCTTTCCGATTTAATGGTGTGCAGCAACAGCCTTGAAGAAGGGAAAACCCTTTCTCCCACAACCGCGTTAGTTTTGATGTACTTGTAGATGTTCTCAATAAATGTATCTTAATCTACCATCAAAGTGCATACTTCTGGACATGGGGCGCTCCTTCTTTCCTATTATTCCAAATCTACATGTGCAAATGACCTTAAGGCCCTATCTAAAAGGCAGATTCCAGACCCTAAGAGGGTTTACCACCAGTGTCCACCATTGTGCCCAATCGACTAGAGGGACATCTCCCTACCCACCTGCACAACCACCCACCTACAACCAGTGACTGATCCAGTCAGTCCAGCGTGGTCTTCAACTGCTGCCTTGTGAGTTGCATGACCCCACGAAAGTATTCCAGCTCCTAAGGCTGCATTCACATTGGTGTATAACCATGCTGCGAATCCAAACGACAAGAGTCTATTGATTCCTGCGACAGTAGGGTGTGACTTGGCATGCGATCTGCAAGTCGTATAGCATGCAAATCACATGCTAAATCGCACCTGATGTGACCGCAGTGTGAAAGGGGTAAAGTGTGTTGGAAACAAAAGCATTTGTGACCTTTTTAAGATTGATTTATTGATTTGATTTATTTATATATACATTTTTTTTTTCAGGTGGCCCTCTGGCAATGGTGGGCTCAGCCCTAATGGGAGGCATTTTGTTGGCTCTTATTGAAGGTGTTGGGATCCTCCTCACTCGCTACACAGCACCACAGTTTCAAAACCGTGAGTATACTAAAAGTACATGAAGCAGTCTGTAGCTGCAGTGCCGCATGGGCATCCTATACAGAGACAAATATGCATTTGAAAACAGCGGTCAAGTCATTTTAATGTCATAGGTTATGCAGGTACTAAAAATGAGCCCAAACTGCCACCTATATGTGCTGTTAAAATGCGGAGAATTTGATTCCCCCCACTAGGTCCTTTACAGCAGTTTCGGACCCTGGCAGGGAGGGTTTGATAGAACTTCCTTGCCATTTCATTTAATCTACTGCAGCCATTAGGTCAAGTAAGTTCTATACACACTTCTGTGGAGAATCCACTAGATAGATGATGCCTGTGTTTTGAAAACTTTCTAATGGATTTTACATAGGGACATATGGGGAGTACTAGAAGATTAACTATATATATATATATATATATATATATATATATATATATATATATTCCATCCCTTACATATTTAAGAACTGGCAAACCACCGGAGCAGGCAGACGCCTGGAAGCCATCGTCGGGAGCGAAGTCTTCCTTCCTTTTTTTTTTTTTTTTTTTTTTTTTTTTTCGGGTCGGGTAGTGGCGGTGACGGCGGGCATCGTGATTGACATTGGATCTACTGTGGGGGACATTCTTTTATTTTTACCTTTTAATAAAGGACTTGTAAAAGACCACGTCCTGTCTTTTTTCACACTACACTTTTTTTGTGAATGAGTAGCGGTACCATGTACCCCATACTCATTCACATGGGGGGGGGGGGGGGGGGGGCCTGGGATCTGGGGGCCCCTTGCTAAAGGGGGCTTCCAGATTCTGACAAGCCCCCTGCCCGCAGACCCCCACAACCACCGGCCAAGGTTGTGGGGAAGAGGCCTTTGTCCCCATCAACATGGGGACAAGGTGCTTTGGGGGGGAGAGCCCTCCTGCCTCAAAGCACCCCCCCATGTTGAGGGCATGTGGCCTGGTATGTTTCAGGAGGGGGGGGGCGCGCTCGCTCGTCCACCATCACTTCCTCACCTGCTGGGCTTCATGCACGGATAAGGGTCTGGTATAATTTTGGCGTGCGAGTTCCCTTCAAAATCCATGCCAGACCCAGAGGGCTTGGTATAGATGGGAGGGGGGACCCCACGCTGTTTTTTTTTTTTATTTATTATGGTGCCGGTTTTTAAATGTAATTACCGGGGTTTTTTTTTTTTTTTTTCACTATAGCTCAGAAATCAGCTGTCACTTTTCCCCCAGCTAAAAGATTTTTTTCTTTTAGTTTATTTCCCTGAGTTAATAAATCTCATACACAATTGCTTTTAATGTCAAAGCAATATGGCAACCTGGCAACGTTCAAAGCAATATGGTGTTCAGAATGCCTCCAAAACAGGTCCTTTCCTGATTGTGTGAACAAGTCTGCACTAAGATGCAATCCAGGCTTTATGCATCCTTTGCAACAACAATGTCCTTGGTGAGATACTTCCTTAGAGTTAATTTATTTCTAAAGGGGTGCAGACACAACCAAAGTTGAACCAGAGCTTCCCATTCAGAATCACTCTGCACAGAACATGGTCAAAGAACTATTCCTTCAGAACAAGTAGCTATCTGCAGCAAAGATTAACCCCTTCTCGTCTAAGGGTAAAACAAATCTTTGTGCCTAAGCAAAATTTAGCAACTTTGATATGTGTTGGTAAAATTGGCACATATCATCGCAACTACTTTGTACATCCAGGTGGATTATGGGACAAATTGGGCTTTCATTTGGTGGTTAATGGTAATGGGTATCCTCCTTTTTTTTTTTTTTTTTTTTTTTTTTTTTTTTTTTCCCCAAGCTGTGTATTTCTTATTACCATAACCTACCACTAAAGAAAAAAACAAAAAATTCTCCTGTTTCTGATGACCCACCATCCATTCAATCTGTGCCCAATCAGGCAAGCCCTTTCGCTACATAGGTGGTTGATCTAAAGGAAATTGTGCAGTTTGTAACGTGAGTAGTGAACGTTAATGAAATTGTACTGTAAGCCCCCGGTCACATCAAAGCCGATTTTGAAACTGCCGAATTCAGTTGCGATTTGCTAGGCATCTGACACAGATGTCTATGCAAATCGCAACAAAAGTAGTGCATTCACTACTTTAGAAATAGGTGCTGCTCCGACCAATTCAGAACCACACCGATATTAGCGGACAATGGGGTGTGACGTGGCATACAATTTGCAAGTCGCCTGGCATGCAAATTGCATGCCAAGTTGCACCCGAAGTGACCCGGGTGTAAAATCTGGCCAGTGGTAAGCTCAGGGACATATTTACCACAAGGAAAATTTGACACATTTCACCAAATAGCTGGACATACACTTTAGCCTTTGCCATTTTTTTTTTCTTTTGTCTGCAATGTATTCTTTTTAATAGATTTGTATTCTTGTATCTGCTGTTCATTGTACAAACCATCCTGCATGTGAAATATGGTCCTTTTCCCTTCGTGTGTCACTCTCTGTGTTCTGCAGCCAACCCTTTTGGAGAGGAGCCAGGCAATGTACCACACTGACTGTGACAGCATGTACAGCACCTGCTGAAACTGTTACCGCGGCACTTCACCATCCCTGCTGCTGATGGTGGAAGAGGAGTATGGAAAGGGTGCTCACCAACTGTTCCTGTTCTTTGTTAGAAATAAACAATCTTCCTTGTAAAACTGTGAGTTCTGTACTATGTACTGCTAGAAGCTGCAACACTACATAGCTGTTCATACACTATCATGCTTCTCTAGAAAGTCAACAATCAGGCCTCTGGTTACTAAGGCCAGTTTGGTTGAATATCAACTCTAATTGTCTTCTATGGGTTAATGCGCTTTTTACATTTTCCACATCAGCCTTTAGGTTTTGGGGCCAGTTTACACTACATGCATTTCAGTTGGGTTTTTTTTTTCTACATCCAAAACGCACAGAAAGGTTATATGGTTGTCAATGTCATAGTTCACATCAGTGCTTGCAGTTCCAGTGCAATCTGGTTGCAGAAAAAAAAGTAGAACATGCTGCATTTTTTCTGCACAGAACTGTACTGGAATGCGGTAAATCGCATGAAGAACGCAGAAAAACACACTGGAACGCACATGTCCCTATTTAAATTGAAGAGAAAGCGGGGAAGGAATGCATAAAAAAAACATGCACTGAAACGCACCAGGATGCGGCAAAAATGCACATGTGGGAACGCAGCTGGACTGTGTTTCTATAGTGTGAACTGGCCATTTAGGGCTAGTTCACACTAGATGCAGTCCAATGCGGTTTTTGTTTTTTTTGGTTTTTTTCCCCCTTGCACTTTTCACAGACTGTATATATCTATAGGTGGATCCATGTTTGATCAATACTTTGCAAATGAGTATTTTTGTTTTGATGTTTTAATACTTTTACACAAGGTATAATTTTATATATTCTATTATTATTATACAGTATTTATATAGCTCCAACAGTTTGCTCAGCACTGTACATTATAAAGGGAGATGGTACACGAGACAGTACAGAAACATATGATTCAATACAATACACGAGGGGTTTGAGGGCCCTGCTCCTTGATTATTTATTTATTGGCAGCTGTTTTTTATTGCCAGCCATTTTTTTTATATTACCCAGTTTTTTGTTTTTTTTTTATTTTTGCCCAAAAGACTTAAATACTATGGTGTTCACTTCCACAGCTCCAGTTAGTACAGCTTCCCTGAATTTCCAAGTAGCGGAGTGCGTGCCTTTGTTTATTCACATGCGTTGCATAGAAGAAACATTGGAGGGAGGAGTTGGGAGCTTGGGAGAGACTTTCCACCCTAAGCTTTGGGGAAATGTGCTGCTATGGAGGCATGCAGTTTAGAGAAAGGAGTCAATGAGCTGGTACTCTAAGGTGTGGTTCTGAAGAACCCTATAAGGAGATGGAGCCACCTGAAAGGAAGTGAATTTAGACTGAGATAACACAACCACACACAACTGATACATGCATAAAACATGGCAAGTGCTATATGCTTCTTAACTTATAAGGGTTTGATATCATTTTCAAACTAGCAAGTACTTTCATTAAAATAGAACTAAACCCTCCTACTATTAAAATGAATAATTTTGTACTTAATTACCCAATTCGTGCCATTGTTTGCTTCTTTTAAGTATCCTTTTACAAGTATGTCCGTCCTTTTTTTTTTTTTTTTTTTTTTTTTTTTTTTTTTTTTTAGACTATAGACTTTCAGCAAAATACATAGTTGAGGTGCATATGAGAGAGCTGTTTTCACCTGCTAAAGGATTTGTAATTCTGTCCACCAATCCCTGAGATTTATGCAGCTCTGCCCCACAGCATCATCCTACCTGGCACTGCAAGAAATTGGATTTTCTTTTGCTACAGTTATGAAACACTTGCAGGCCTTGTCTCTTCCCCAGCCTGTGATTGGACAGTGAAAGAAGCAGCAGACTGAAAAGCTAATTTCTCTGTTACTCTGCTCTCTCCTCCTATCGACATCTCTGCAACTGGTTGGCTTCTTCTGCTGTCTCTCCCACTCTTTGCTGTGCAGAACAGGAAATGCAGGAGACTGATACCAACTCAGATTACGTAATTGGCACTGCTTTCATTTAGGAAAACATATTTTTTTAATGAATACAATGTTGCATTATTTGGGTATATTTTATTTGGCTTGTGTTCAGCTTTAAAAAAATGTGTATTTTTGCACGTACCTGCTGCCACTTAATTTATATGCACCAATACTCCAGATGCAATAATAGAACTACCCTTCCCCCACATTCAAAGTAGATTGATTAAAGTGTGCAGGCATGATGGGAGGGAGAGGAGGCTGTGCCCTTGTGCACTTTAGTACATACCAGTGAGGTGTGCATTGGCATGTGTGGTCATAGTTTGATGCAGGAAGGACCCCCACAGGTGAGTCTTGCTCGTTTTAACCGATTGATGTTACCCAGCAACAGGAAGAAAGGATAGGCTTTCTGCACAATGACCGTAGAGGTGGAATTTGTGCAAAGAAAACCATGGGCAGTGAGTTTAGAGATTATATAAAAGGCAACATGTTTTGTTTTTTTTAATA